ATTATAATATTAAGAATATTATAATCACCATAATCCTGCTCACCAAGGGTAACAATTGACATTCTGGCGTTTATTCTTTCCGTCTTTTTTCCTATCCAAATATAAATTTCCTAGGAGAAAATATTTGCTGACAAGCCACACACGTACTCGTATAAATTTGCTTTTAAAAAAGTAATAACGTAAAACCAGTCAAAATTAAAACCTGTGTCAAGTGGGAGCCTGTCAAAGAAGGAAAATTCAAATAGCAATAGGAAAGTAAGACCCTGTCAAAGGCGGAAAATATTCGAGATGTGGAAAACCGAGGCAGTCCTGTGGCATTCCAGCTGTCACAGATGTCTATAACCCAAGAAGTAAAGCTTCCACCACCGGGTTATCTGTTGACCTTACAACTGTCTCTGGGAAGTCTTGCCCTGGAAATCGACACACCATGTCAGACATCCAGCAAATCTAAGCACTTGGGGTTTTGTCTGACTGTAGAGATTTTCCTGGTGGGGAAGCAAGAACACAGCTGTTAGTTCCACTCTCCATTGCTAAAGCAGCCCACCAGATCAATCACCTCTTTTTACACATTGCTCTTATGGGTTCAGAGACCCTTCATGTTTTCATCCCAGAGTTTCAATCAAGAAATACAGTCAGGAGGACATTGTGGGCAGACACACTGAGCAGATCCTCTGCAAAAAAGACAAGGGAGACCAAGTCAAACAGACACCAATGATCATCCTGGAACCCTGAGCTTCCAGGGATGGGACAGAGAGGTGAATAGAGTGCCAAATGGAAGAGAAAGCAGAACAGTAAAGGCGAGAGAAGGAAAGCAGGCAGATTATATAGTCAGGGGCTAGAAGCAGTGCAGTTACCATGAACTTTCACCAGTTCTGCAGGCCCAGGATGCACCTGGAGGTTGACAGAATAGGGGTGGCATTCTCGCTTGTCCCACCACCCTTGCCAACCCAGCTGTGAGTGGTATTCCCTCCCACACAGCTTCTGCTCTGCCTGGAATTAGGCGCTGGGCATACCACCGCCCGCTTCTGGAGGACCGTGCACCCGCCCTAAACTCCACTCACACGTCCAGTCTCTATCACATTCACCAGAGACAGGTGGTGAGTGCCTGAGAACATGCCAACATACAATCATCACCTAAATATAAATACAATATCACATTGTCTCAGAGAAAACAGACAGTTTGAACTTACACAAATAAACGAGAGAGTACCTCAAAGAAGTGACCAAAATGTAGTCAGAAATAAAATACAAGAAATGGTATCAAAACTACTTGATAAGAAATTTAAAATGATGTTTAGTTTCCTTCAAAGGATTGAATGGTTGACAAAACAGCAGATGAAATCAGAGACATAACTTTAAAAGAATTCAGAAAACAAACTAATCAGTGAAAAGCTAGAAACCAGACAAAAACAACAATTAAAAAGTCAGAAGATTAATACTAAGACTTCAGAAATAGATAATACAATGACAGAGCAAAGAAGTAGAACAAGTAGAACGGAATCAATGAAAGCCAAATTACTGAGCTTGAAGACAAATCTCTTAATACTCATCAGAAAACACTGAAATCCCAACAAAGCCTAAGATTTATGTTGTTGTTGTTGTTGCTGTTATTATGTGCCGTGGAGTCAGTACCAACTCATAGCGACCCTGTACAGGGTTTCCAAGGCTGTAAATCTTTACGGGAGCAGAAAGCCTCATCTTTCTTCCGTGGAACAGCTGGTAGTTTCGAACTGCTGACCTTGCAGTTCACAGCCTGATTCATAACCACTAGGAAGGAACAACTTCCATGTGATTGGAATTCCACAACAAGACGAGACAAAAAAAAAAAAAAAAGACAGAAAATTGTCCTAGAGCTGGTGGAAGAAAATTGTCCTATCATGAAAAAGACGAGAAGATAGTCATTCAAGATACTGAACCAACTCCAAACAGGAGAGACCCCAAAAGAAACACACCAAACATATTAAATCAAACATTTCAAAACCACAGAAAGACAAAGAATCCTGAAAGCATCTCAGGAAAAATGAAAAATCACCTACAAAGGAGACTAAGACTAATCTCTGATGTCTCAGTAAAACCCATGCAGTCAAAAAGACAATAAGAAGATATACCTAAAACTCTAAAAGAAAAAAAATTATCAACTAAGAATCATATACCCAGCAAAATTTCCTATCTAATATAATGAAGAAATTAAGAATATTTTCAGACATACAGAAATTAAGAGAATTTGTACAAACCAGACTAACCTTACAAAAACAAAACATTAAAGGAGTTCTTTGGAGAACCACAACAGCAGACAACAATCTTAGACTAAGAAACAAGATAGTATCACCCAGATCTCAACCCAGATATAGAAGTACTCAAAGGAAAACAAACCTTGTAGGTTCAAGACTAAAAATAGGGAACAAGATATAGGTTACAACACCACCAGGAAAAAAAAAAAGGAAGAGGAAATCTATTTTTAAAAACATAAAAATAAAGCTAATTGTAACCTAAAATAAGACCCAAGCCTTACTCCTAGCCCTAGTCCAACCCCTAACACTAACCCTAGTTCTAACCCTAGCCATAACTTAACGAATTTCTAGGCCTAGCCAATCCTAACCATTGTCCCAACTATATCTCCTTACACCTACCTTTTCCAATAAGAAAGAAAGAAATGTTCAGCTCTTCATATCTGCGGGTTCTGAATCTCAGGATTCAACCAATCATGAATTGAAAATATTTAGGGGTGAGGAGGAGCAATTAAGGGTTAAAGCAATTCCTCAAAGGCGAAGAGGGAATGCCAAGTGCTTATTTACGTAGCATTTACAGTGTATTAGGTATTACAAGTAATCTAGAAATGGTTTAAAGTAGATGGGAGGATTTGTATTGATTATATGCAAATACGACTCCATTTTATGAAGGATTTGAACATCCTTGGATTCAAGATAAACTTAAAGCCCAAATACACAAATAGGCTGAAGATACAAAGACAGAAAAAAGTATTTTATGCAAACAATAACAAAACAACTCGAGTGGAATGTGATCCAGAACTTGTCATGGTCCACATAATTAAAGGCCTTTATGTAGCCACTAAAGCACAAGCAAACATCCTTCTGGTATTCTTGGCTTTTAGCCAAGATCCATCTGACATCAGCAATGAGAGACCCTTCTTTCTACGTCTTCTGAATAAGGCTTGCATTTCTAGCAGTTCTCTGTTGATATACTATTGAATCATCTTTAACAACAGTTTACTTGCATGTGCTATCAATAGTTTGGTGGTTTCAGCATTTTGTTGGGTCACCTCCCTGGAATGGGCACAAATAGGAATCTCTTCCAATCGGTGGCCAGGTAACTGTCTTCCAATATACTTGGCATACATGGATGAGTAATTCCAGTGCTACGTCAATTTGTTGAACGATTTCAGTTGATATTCCGTCAATTCCTGGAGCCTTGTTTTTTTCTCCAATGCCTTCAGTGCAGCTTAGACTTTTTCCTTTAGTATCATCCATTCTTGATCATGCTACCTCTTGAAATAGTTGAACATCAATCATTTCTTTGTAGTACTGTAATTCTGAGTATATCTTCTTTCCCCATTTGATACTTTCTGCCCCAGTCAACATTTTGCCCATAGAATCGTTCAATATTTCAATAGAGGCTTGAATTTTTTCTTTAGTTCTTTCAGTGTCAGAATGCTGAGTGTGGTCTTCCCTTCACTTGCATAACTCCAGGTCTTTGCACATTCCATTATTATACTTGACTTTTGCTTGTTGAGCTACCCTTTGAATTTTTCTGTTAAGCTTTTATTTCCTCATTTTGCTGGAGAACAAATTTCAGAGTCTCTTTTGACATCCATTTTGGTCTTTTCTGTCTTTCCTGTCTTAATAACCTCTTGCT